ATAGAAAACAACCAACATTTGCTTGCATTTCCATGTACCAATCACAAAAATGAAATTTTTTTATTTATAATTACCTATTATGTTACTATGCGAATGAGACAATATTCACGTATATCCAACCAAAAGCAAGTAAAAAACCATGCAAAAAAAAAAAAACTTTCTAAATTGGTAGCAACGTAGGTAGTAATGTGCATTTATTACATAAATATTTACTACTTTATTAATTAAAATATAAAATATAATAAGTTTGAGTACTGATTTTAATTTTTGAATATGTGATGGTTATTCATTGTTCTGTTATCACTAGTCACTACGACTTATCACATAAAAGAATTTTCAACAGCACAGTATAAAAAAATCGCTACTAGACACTAGAGTGCAGTTACGTAGCGAACGTACGACCGCCGTACAACTCTGTAGCCACCTTATTATATACAGTGTCCAGTCCTATGTAGTAGTTCGTGGTTTTAAGTTTTGGAAGAGGTAATTTTAGCAGGTCATGGATAGATGGTATTATGGTGGTGGTGGTGGTACCTGTTATCCGCGGTACACAGTGCAGCCACAAGGTGGTTTAGTGTTTAGACCAAGCTGGATTGAATCTGTGCTCAAAAATCAAAATACAACAGTGATAAATTGATATCAGTGTAATTGAAAATAATATTGATAATAATATTTTTAATTTTTCTTGACCTTTGCAAACATTTGTCGTCCATCGTAATTATTTTAGAGTTTTATGGTAAAAAATAAATATATTCACTCTCATTTAATTATTAAATATGAATACTACTTACACTAAAATATTTATAATATTAGTAGTCAGTAGATATTAATAATATAAAATAGGTTGAATTATGTATATTATTTAAACTGTATTTGTGTAAACATTTTAAGCCACTTGCGCACTTCCTGATCTTGTTTGTATTATACATTTATAACTATAAAATTAATTTATAAAATCGATAGGTGACCTCTGAAAATGGAAACAGATAATCAAAATGTTCAGAAAACTCAATTTTGCAGTTATATGGTAAGTAAAACATGAAAATTAATTGTCTTTACTATTTTGATATATTATGTTAGTTCTTAAATACTGAAGACTGGAACATAATAGATTATATGTGTGATCACTGATAAATAGCAATATGTATAATATTCTTAAAATAGGACATCAATATTTAATTTGTTGTATGATTTTACCTATTTTTATTTTAGCCGGAGCGAGTGCATACTGAAGGAAGACGAAAACTTATGTCTTGGTTGAATCAACAAATGAAAGTTAATTTAATAGATGGCCGCATTTTGGTAGGAACATTTGTTTGTACTGATAAAGATGCTCATATTATACTAAGTACATGTTATGAATACTTTAACGAAAAAGGTGAGTTTCCTAAGAAAATAAATTAAATTATTTATTATGTTCACATTTTTCATAAATGATCTGTATTTGTTTAGATTTAGATACTGGAGAATTTCGACTTTTAGGCTTAGTAATGATACCTGGGCGACACATCGTTTCAATTCATACAGATGTACAGCAAACAAATGAACAACATATAAGTTCATCAAACTTTGAAGAAACATGATAGTACCTACCAAATAATTGCAATTATAATGTAATCATTGTGCACATATTTATCTTCATTGTTAATATTTAATACAATTGATTAATATACAATACAAGAGTCCTAAAATATTAACAAATTTTGAAGTTAGGTTAGGGAAAGAAAATTACAAATGCAAAAACTTCATGTAATAGATCATCATGTAATGAATCTTTTATTCTATTTTATAATCAATAGAAATACAATAATTTCTGCTTATTTGAATACTGATTTATTGAACCAACCGTTTGTTAAATTGACCTTTTACTAGAAATAATAATCACTGTTAACGGTATACTTGATTTACTTTTATAGCTTTAAATGGCCAGAACTGATTTTAATCATAACATGCTAACTTTAAACTTTGACACTCGAATACACAATCAACAAATAATATATTCATAAAATTCTTTACTTTATTGTAATTTTATATTTTTTTTCAACTACCTTTTATATATATTTTGTGTTTTATTATTATTAAATTTGTCAGAATTGTTAAACAAATTTTATATTTTATGAAATCCAAAAAGAATCAAAAAATAAGATTTAGAAAAGATCATCTCTACTTTGTGAATCGAAATTACCTGTAACCTAACAGGTATTACTATTTTGATCACTGGCATCACTGTGAGCAGACATGGGTTACTATATTGATATTACTGCAAATAAATTACTTTAATTACAATATTTAGTAGACTAAATATTTTCAAAAAAAGTTTTCCAAATACTATTTTTAGACGCTTAAAAATATTTTAACCCTAAAAAAAACTTCTATTTTCTTAAAATAATTTATTAAAAATATTTTAATGTTTCTAAAAATTACTACACTTTATACTTTTTCAAACCACAGCTTAATCTTTAGTTAATGGTATTGATTTTACAATATGTGTTTGTCTAGTATATGTCTTAACTTTTTGGGCCTTTAAAAATGCTTCGATTTTCTACTTCAACATTTTTAGTAGGTAGTAGGAAAATAAATCTAGTTAGTAGTTAGAGGTTTCAAAAGTAAAAAATGCCCTAGTATTTTTCAAAAGTGTCTGGGAACATAAAAAAAAATTCAATAAGAATGTAGATTTTTACTTCACAACCGGTTTTTTATAAAAATCGATTTATCTATTTTGGTGTAACTCAAAAACTAATGATCATAGATAGGTTATAGATTATACTATGCATTTTCATCAAATGTTTTATTGTTATATGTCAATATCATAATTCATAGACCTTTTAGCCTAGGTTAATTGTTAAAAGGTCTATGATGGTCAATATACTATCATCAATCATGTAGATCACGGTTAATTTATATTATTATTGTAAATATTTAAAAGTTGATTTACCTAGTTTCAGTGGTGCAACTAAGGCCGTGCAAAAAGGTTTTTAGCAAACCCAAGTTAAAATTTAGCACCCCTTGTTTTTTATACCTAACTTTTATTATTTTATTGAAATATCATGAATTATATGTTTTTAAATTATCGAACATTTCCTGAAAAAATGTATAGTTATTTGGTCTAACGCTTTATATTATATATAATCATTGGAACTTGGAAAAAATGTGTAAAAAAAAACCGGACAAAAGATGAAAAAATCTGGGAAGCCAATGTGCGTGAAGTTGGCCCCAACACCATGACCAACTTTTTTGAAAGTTATGTTATCACTTTGCAAATAATTTGCAAATCAATTCCCCATGCGGTATAAAAAAATAAGATGAAGGAGGTGGCCAAATTCATGCAGCCCCCCAATATGTAGCTAGCGGTTTCAAGATACTACCAATAATTTGAAAATAATTTGCAAACATTTGCAAATTGGTTTTTAGAATTTTCAAAATATAAATCACCCACAAGGTATGAAAAATATAAGATGAGGGCAACTTCACGCTACAACCCCTTTTGAGCTACGACTTGAAATATGCTGCTAACATTTTGCAAATAGCCGTTAACTTATTTATAATTTCGAGACAAAAATCATACCAATCATTGGTGTTTATACATAGGTATAGTTTATACTGAATCTAGGAAAAAAAGAACAAGTAAAAAAGAACAACTTTTAGAAATTTTAAACAGTGTCCCACTAATCAATATTTTTTAAAACAAAAATTTTAATATAATGCATAGACACTTATGCTATATTTTTGGTATTATTTATAATAAAAAAAATACGAAACATAAATACAATAAAGCTTAGTATAATATTATAGAGTAAGATACATTTTTATTACTGGAAATTCCCTAAGTAATCCTAGTGCCCTTATAGTTGACTATAGGTGATCTTTTCATACTTTAGAGCTATAATTTGAGTGAACATATTTTAGTCTATTGACAGTCATTGAAGTGTTCAAGTGTTTTCATTAAATTTTTATACTTCAATTTTTTAAATACATTTTAAATGGAAATTGTTATGAAAGCAGTATCAAAAATGAAATTAATGGCTATGACATCCTGTACAAATCCAGTCGAGATTTATGCTCGAGGTGTCTCCGAGTTCGATGAACGTTCTAAATCAAAAATTTATGTTTCGTATTTTTTTTATAATAAATAATAATAATAATAAATAATACCAAAAATATAGCATAAGTGTCTATGCATTATATTAAAATTTTTTTTTAAAGAATATTGATTAGTGGGACACTGTTTAAAATTTTTAAAAATTGTTCTTTTTTCCGTGTTCTTTTTTACTTGGTCTTTTTTACCGATTACCGTTTATACTTTATAGTATAATTTAAAGTAATATTATGTAATACACAATTGAAATATACTACTTACAGAAGTATTTTACAGAATATATCGGGCTACTATTTAATATAAGTTTAATATGGAATAATTGTTTCTTACCCTTATAGTCTTAATACATGGTAATTTTACAATAAACATAAATTAATAATTTATTTTTTTAAATGTATTTATTAATTCTTTTTACTCTATATTTGTAGGAACATAACATGGGTTATTGAATATTATAAGATCATGGCCATCAAATAAGCGCTCACATTAATTAATAACAATTTTTATTTTGTTTTTCTAATAAATAGATTATGTTTTTCAGATCTTAAAATTTTATTCGTCTTAAATTTACTTTATTTATATTTCATTATTAAAGTTAGAAATCGTGGTTCATAGTTCTCGTCATTAATTATAAAAATAGGTAAACATCAAAACTCTGATGAACATAAAACTAATTTAACAAAGATGGTTGAATATAAAACAAGCAAGCAATAATGGTAATAACTATTAAGCAAGTTCAGTAGTGGCCAAATTATCAGATGCTCGCCACAATTAACTTGCAGAAAATAGAGCTTATATAGTTATATGGTCCAATTAATTGAAATTGTTCTATATCTTGGTTAACAAGGTGTTGCATTTTGGGGACACTCTGAGAAATGTTATTAAACAAAATAGTTTTTTAATCCATTTATACTTGGTACTTATTTATTACCTAAATCATTATATAATACACCTAATATGCTTATGGTTTTATGGTGTATATTGGAATGGTTAAAGTAATATTATAAAATTGAAGTATGGCAGGTGTCCGGGGATGTGGGGGCGTAGCCCCCGCGGCCAGTTTGTGTCCTCTGCGTAATTTTAGCACCCCCAGTGTTTGGCCTTTAGTTCCGCCTATGCCTAGTCTCCAACGAAAAAAATTGAAAAATTCGTTATAAAATTGCGCGCGGCAGTACGAGTACAGTATAGGTACAGGTTCTGCGTATGCGTTTAAACGTAAAATCGCAATCTTTGGAAGGCTATTACTTAAAAATAATTATTTCCTCAGATTTTTTCTTGTATCATCGTTCTTAACTCGTTGAAATACGTCTGTTAAAAAAAAAAAAATCAAAATTAAATCTGGGTAGCCAAAGTAATTTGTTCCGATGATTTAAGCACAGACTAATTCAATTTTATACCTACCATAGAGTTTCATAATAGGTCGATTCACTCTAATTTTTAAACTAACAAAGCTATAAGTAATATTTGATCTGCTGAGCGTAAATTTGCTGTTACCTACACACTTATAAGACGGAAACAAGAAATGCGTCTTCGTTATAATCGAGTCATATGTAATTTAAATTTATTGTTTTGGTATTTCGCCTATTTGCTTATTGCACACAAGCTATAGATTGTAAAGTTTAATTTTTTTTTATAAGATTTGAACAATGGCTTATGATATCTGGACAATTATTTTTTTTTAAGGATAAAGGCTCCAACAGCTAGGTCATTAGCCCGCGGTTGTGTTTACATTGATATTAATGGATAATTAAGTTACAATTAGTGATTACATATGGTCATAACTTATAAGATAAGTAGATTTTACAGTATTATACAATTATATTTTATATTAGTTGTACAGTTTTATCTTAATATTAAATTGTTGTTATTTAGCTACTTAGCGATAGACCAATTACCAATTGTATGTCTTGATGAAACATGGGTGAATCAAATTCATTAGCGGAGCATTGCATAGCAACATGATAGTATGGTGATAGGTGGGTCCGAAAATCTCTACTGGAAATGGTGGACGTCTTAAGATTTATTATTGTTCATGCAGGATGCACCGAATATGGGTTCATTCAGAATTCAAAATTGGTTTTCCGTAGTAATACTGGCAATTCTACGGATTACGTATTCTGAATTATTCAAACGTCGAACAGCCTTGAAGAACCGTCCATGATTGTTATGGATAATGCATCCTATCATTCAACCCTCATTGATAACTTTTCCAAAATCAATGCTCGAAAAGCAGCTTTGCAGCCGCGCAGACTTGGTTGACCTAAAAAAATGTCTATTTTTCAACATTAGAAAATCTAGCTGAACTTAAACTTAGAGATAAAGTGTTAATATCATTTGAAAAAAAATTAGGAATTGGATGTATTGGTATTGGAAATGGGCCATAAAGTAATTCGACTTCCAATGTACTATTTCCAATACAATCAAATTGAGCTAATATGGGGCCCAGGTACAAAATCAAGTGATAAAAGACAATAAAACTTTTAAAATGGTCGATGTGGAAAAGTTGATTTACGAAGCATTGGATTCGGTTACTTAACATGATTGGGAGAATTGTGCGAGACATGCCGAAACATTGCAAGACCAAGACAACGAAAAATAAATTATGAGAGACAGTATGTTGGAGACAATCATTTTGACTTTGTTACCTGATGACAGCGATGGGAGTCCTGCAGTGACGATGAAGGAAATTCGGAATAAAATTCGCAAATTCGCAATTACATATTATCATTACATACTTACATGTATAGTAATTTTTTATTCTGCTATTATATTGTATTGTATGTATGTCTGTTTTGTTATTATTAAAAATTAATATTAGATAATATACCCAGGCGTATTTGAAAAAGAGCGGTAAATTATATTGTTGTTTGATAACCACTACAACAAGTAGTCCGCTTGGATTGTGGCGGTCAGCCGCCA